ATCATCGTGCAGAATAAGGGCCGAGTAGATACAGGCGAGCTCGGAGACAGAGGCCATGGCGCGGGAGAGCTCCAGGCGTTATTTTTGTTTTTTGAGATAAACAAAACTGTACTACAGAAAATGTTAAAGGAAGTTCTTCAGGTGGAAAACAGATTTATACTGGGTAAAAATTTCTCTGTGCATAAAATGATTGGAGGACTCTAATAAGGCTTTTCCCTTTAAAAATCACATTGGAAACCTTAAAACAACTCCTAAAATAGTAAAAACAGTACAGCTGGTAATCCTATAATGGAGACAAAGGGAATACGAAAAAAATACAAGATTAGTCCAAGAGAGGACAGGAAAATAGAAAAAAAGGGAAGAGAAAATAGATGACAAGATGATAGACTAAAACCTAAAATGAATAACTATATTCAGTTTAAATGGTCCATCTAGAGGCCAGCAAAATTTTTCCGAAAAGGGTCATATAGCAAATATTTTAGGCTCTGTGGGTCACATACAGGCCCTATTGCATATTCTTGTTTACTTATTTATAACCCTTCTGAAATGCAAAACCACTCTTAGGTTGAAGGCTATATAAAAACAGGTTGTGGGCTGGATTTAGCCAGCATGCCATAGTTTGCTAATCCCTGTCTAGATATTTGAAGGCAGAGAATGTCAGACTGTATAAAAAAACTGGGGCCAAAGTATATGCTGTTATATGAGATACACTTAAAATAGGTTAAAATAAAAGGATAGAAAAAGATATGTCATGAAAACAAAAACAGTAAAAGAAAGCTGAAGCAGTTATATTAATAAAGAGAACAGAATTCAAGACAAAGAATATTACCAAAAGGATCATTTCATGATAAAAGGGTCAATTCATCAAGATGACACAGTAATTCTAAATATGCATGGACCTAATAATAACACAGCTTCAAAATACTGTAAAGTAAAAACTGACAAAACTGCAACAGATGAATTCACAGTTGTATTTGGAGGTTTAACCGCCCTCTCTCAGACACTGATAGACCAAGTGACAATACAAAAAACCAGTAAAGATATAGAAAGGTTGCTCACCACTACAAACAACTTAACCTAAATGATAAACACTCTACCCAACAATATAACACCCCCACTTTTTTTTCAAGTGCATTCACCAAATTGTCCAAATTTGGGGTCACAAAACAAGTCTCAGTAAATTTAAAAGGAGAGAAATTACAGAGTATGTTCTTTGACCACAGCATAGTTAAATTGAAAATGAATTAGCAGAAGGATCTGAAAACGTCCCCAAATATTTAGAAGTTAAAGAGCACTCTTCTAAATAAGCCATGGGTGAAAGAAGAAAGGGAATTTTAAGGTAGAAAAAAATAAAAGAAAATTAAACCTAAATTATGCAGAAAGAAGGAAAGAATAAATAAAATAGTAAGTGTAATAGCAAGGGCAAACTAGAGAGAAAAACCAATAAAACTAAAAGCTGGTTCTTTGAAAAGATCAATGAAATCAATAAACCGCTAGTATACTGCACAAGAAAAGATTTCAATTATCAGTATCAGGAATTAAAACGGGTGCATTTATATAGATCTGACAGGCATTAAAATGAAAATAAGGGAGAATTATAAATAACTTTATGCCAATAAATTTGACATCTAAGTTGAAATAAACTAATTCCCTGAAAGGTACAAATTAATAGATAAGGGGCTTTGAGGGGCTTTATTTTTTTTCTTTAATCAGTTTAGTAACTTGTACTAATAATAAATTAAGGAAATTAAGAAATTAAAGTCTCCCTATGAAGAAAACTCTAAACTCACATGGTGATCTAGTTTTCTACTGCTGCAGCACAAATCACCATAAGTGTAGTAGCTTAAAACGAAACATTTTTTTATCTGTTGATTAGGAGTCCAACAAGAGTTTTACTAGACTAAATCAAGGTGTCGGCAGTGCTATGTGCCTTTCTGGCAGCTCTAGAGAAGAGTCCATTTACTTGCTTTTTCTGGCTTCTAGCGGCTACTTAACATTCCTTGGCTCGTGGCCCTGTTCCTCCATCTTCAAAGCTAGAAATGTTGCATTTCTCTAACAGAAGTATGCATATACCATACTCACATTCTCTTTTGACTCTTGACTCTTCAGATAACCCAAGATAATCTCCCCATCGCAAAAGCATTAATTTAATCACATTTACAGTCTCTCGCCATGTAAGGTAACATATTCACAGGTTCTAGGATTAGCATATAGATAGCTTTGGGGGGAGCTGTCATTATTTTGCCTGCCACAGATGTTTTTTTCTGGCAAATTCTATCAGACAATTAAGGAATAATACTAATTCTATTAAAAAAAAACCTCTTCCAAAAACAAAGGACAATGCATGTCCTGATGTATTTTATAAATTAAGGTGGAATAGATATTTTCACATAAAGAAAGCTAAGAGGAATCTGTCATCAGAAGACAAAGTCTAGAAAATGTTAAGGGCAGATCTTCAGGCTAAAAAGAAATTCAGATCTCAAGAAGAGAGAGCAATTGAAAATTGTATACATGTGAATAAATAAAATGTATTTGCAAAGAATCAAATGAAGGATTTTTTTCAAGTTTTTCAACTTCCTTTGTTTCTATGGATTTTCCACTTTTCATTTTGTATATTTGTCCCTTTTCATTGATCACTAATATTCAAAGATTAGTGATCTATCTTGATTTATCTTACTAAATTTTTTTCCTGTTTTCTAACATATAATTTTTATCTTTGTAAATTCCTTCCAGATTTCCCTCTACTTACTTTTAACTTACATATTTTTATTATTTTTCAGAAGCATTTAAAGTTATGACTTTTCCCTTAGAGTCCTGCTTTAACTAAATCCCATGGGTTCCAATATGTAGTGCTATCACATTATTAGAAATCCTTTACTTTTAGATTATATTTCTTCTTTGATCCAGGAGTTATTAAGACAAATTTTATAAACTGCTGTAAGAATAGCTTTATTATTTTTCTGATTTTGTAATTAAATTCTAGTTGTATTTCACTGTGTTCAGGGAATATTGCTTATCATTTGTACTTTTTGGACTTTACTGTGGCCTAATATGTCATTTTTATCTGAATGGTTCATAAACACTTGAAAGGAATGCATATTCACCATTATTAGGATTTAACATGTATCAATAAGGTAGGTTTGATGGAGTATGTAATTTTGTACTTCAATATCCTTACTAAATTTTGTCCACTTGGCCTGACATTGACTAAGAGGGTTAATTTATGTCCCCTACTGCTGGCAAGTGTCTATTTCTTCTATATGCTCTTCTGTTTGTTTTAGGAAAGTTGCTGCTATAATATTTGATATATGTGCAATTCATAACCATTGTATCTTCATTTTGCTATCTACACCTTAGAATTATGTAGTGTCTAGTCTTCTTTGCCATGTTTAATGGTGTGATGTGGCCTGAATTTTAGTGTGTTTTCTTTTAGTTTCAATTTGCCTGGTATACTTTGTCCATTCTTTTATTAAACTTTCTGAATCACTTAAGTGTCTGAAGCAGAGAGTTGAGTTTTAATTTGGGACTCAATCTGAAAGCCTTTTTTTTTAGTAGGTGAGTTAAAGCTCAAATACAGTTATTGATAAGACATATATTGGCTCTGTGGTCTTAGTTTTACCATACAATTAAGTCGCTCATTTTATATATATATAGTCATCCCTTGATAACCATGGGGAATTGGTTCCAGGACCTCTGCAGATACCAAAATCTGCAGATGTGCGAGGTCCTCATATAAAATGTCATAGTATTTGTGTATAACCTACACACATCCTCCTATATACTTTAAATCATCTCTAGATTATTTATAATACTTTATATAATGTAAATGGCATGTAAATAGTTGCCAGCATGCACCAAATTCAAGTTTTGCTTTTTGGGACTTTCTGAAATTTTTTTTTTCCTGAATACTTTCAATCCACAGTTGGTTGAATCCATAGATGTGAAATCCACAGATACGGAGAGCTGACTGCATATACATATACATACACACACACACACACATATACAGACATGTATATATATATATATATATATATTTGTGTCTTAAATCTTAAGCCTTGTACTATATAAGTCATTAATTTTCTGTCTCTTTCATTACAAGTTCCACAAAGAATGATTTGTATGTCTGATTTTTTTCCCCCACTAATTTATTCCTAGTTATCTAGAAAAGTGCCTATCACATAGTAGGTGCTTAATATTTGTTAAATCACTTCATCAAACCAATTATTTCCCTCAAAAGAATACTGTTTCTGTTCTCTCTTTGTTCTGGCAGAAGACTGAGCATACAGGAAATGAGTAAGGATTTATTGAATGAGAATATGAACACTGGTTAGAGAGGAGATGAACAAAAAAGGAAGACCCTGAATTTCTGGCAGCATTACGTACTCACCCACTGGCAAGTTACTGTATGACATTCAGTTAGGTAATAATATCAGGATAAAGAATGCAGATATTCATGTGACCTATAGAAAAAAAAAAGGCTCTTTCAATGAGGAACAAGAAAACACCAACTTACATGGGCCATAGCTTTCTTAGAATCCAACGTATCTATTAGTCCTCTTCTTGGTTCCACTTTAGAAGAAACTCATAGTCCAAAGAAGGTGTTGCTGAATAAGGGGATTTAAAAAAAAAAAACGAGATGAATGAGATGATCTTGCCTCTGAGCTTCCATTTGCAATGTACTAATTTTAATTTAGAATAGTGCTTTCCCCACTTCATGTCTCCTACTCTAGACCCCATACATACATACATAAAAGATTGAAGAGAAATTGGGCAAATCTCAAACTTACTTAAAACAAGGAAGGAATTCAGCTATACCAGTATGGATTTCTTGAATCTATACTGGATTTAGCAGGAAGGATTTAGAGAGGCAGGCCAGCGTCCCAACGCTGTGATAAAATGGACCCAACTGGCCTGCTCAGACCTACCCTGACTAGATTCTCACTGAATTAAGAGGAAAAAGAAAAGGAAATGGACATTATGAAAAGATCAAGGAAATAGAAAATGACTCAAAAGACCTAATGCATGTGTAATAGGAATTTCAAAAATAGAGACTAAAACACCACCAATAAAAAAAGAAGAAATAAATAGAACAAAAATTTCCAAGGCAAAATAAATACTTGAGTCTTTGGTTTGAAGTACTGGTGAAAATTAAAGAATCACATTCCAGAAAACCTTCTGAAATTTATCCTTAAGTACAGAAAAAAGACCTAAATACTTTTTAATAAGAAATTACAAAACAATGTGTATTGTGTTCTAATCTTTGGGAAAAAAAGACTAATGTACATAAGCATATCCGTACATAAGGAGGCTGAAAGCATTTGTAATAAAATGTTCTGAGTAGTTGAAGAATTATAGATAACTTTTACTTTAAATGAAGCAATATAACAAAAATTTTGAAGGTTAATATGAACAATCAGGTAAAAAGCAGCACCTAGTCCTCTTAGACAGTTTTTGGATGTGCCACAGTGTCATTCTTTCCAACTATTTTAAGTGTTTTTCTAAAAGGGAATGGCAGAAGTAGTGAAGTAGAGAAAAATTATGAGATACTAGGCTTTTCATGAAGCTCAACCTTGTGTGACCTTGAATGTGATATGGAGTTGATGCTGTCTATGGCCATGAAGACTATGCTCCTATGATTCTTGGTGATGTGTGTTAACTCTTCAGATAATTGTTGGGGATGAGGCCTAAGTAGGAATAATGGTAGTTTTTTGGGTTTGGGGGGGTTGTTTGTTTACTATATATGTCGCTTTGTCTGCGGTGGTGTGATGATGATAAACACGAGGTGGATTATGTGATTTTGGCTTTATGATGTACGTATGAATACAGGTGGCTACTGGAATCTCCCTAACTGTCTGGGTATAAAGCTTTGGTAAATGTGATTTTCTTTTATCTAAGTGAATGGGGCTTACAGAAATAGCCACCCGCAATCATGGTCACAATCACATACAAACTCCATTTACACATATGGCCATGCACACAATTACACTGTCACAAAAGCACAAATCCAGTTGCTGTCACAACAAACAGCCAAATACACTTAGTCTGGAGACGAAATTCCATCACGCACTCAACAACCTAATCTACTCTCCCTCTCCTGCACCCAGAGGCCTAACACTCCAGACACTCCACTTGCCTGGCCTTGGGGCTACAGAATTCCTTACATTCAGCATCCTCAGGAGGAGCTCTGGTCCATATCCTGATTCCAACTCCAGGAGAGGCCGCACGTTGAGCTTTGCCAACTCAACCGGTCTTGGGAAGCCCTCAGCTGCCTCTGCGGCCGACCATTCAACCGAGGCTCCCACCAGAAGTAGCTTTGGCCAGTTGTGTCCCCAGGGAAATGCAGTCCGAGAGGAAAGAGCCCGGGAGGCTAACGAGGTGTGTTTTCCTCCAGGCTTCAGGCTGCACGTGCGTTATTTCACTTGGACCTGGAGTGACGCCACAACTGCCCAGTTTGCGTGGCTGAGACCTGGTTTGGGGATATAAATTCGGGACCTCAGGTTTCTCTGAGGACGGATTTCAGGCCTGACACGGTGGCTGTCCCCACCCTCTCCACGTGGACACTCGTGGGAGTCCGGCTTCAGAGGACTGCGGTTGTCTGACGCAGAGTGATCCGGCCTGTTCCGTGCGACTGTGATGCGAGATGTGTATTGAGTCCGTACGTGTCCGAGGGTACGTCTAAAGATCGAGAGAGGATTACGTGACACCGACTGTGCAGGTGTCCTGCATGAGGAAATTGGTACGTGAAATGGTTTTGAGACCGTTTGACTTAGTGGATGGGCCGCCTACTGTTGTAGGTTCAGGAGGTGAGAAGCCACGCGCAGTGACTATGATGGTACTAACATGGGAGTGGAGGATTGAGACCATGTAATTGATTACACAGGCTTGCGCGCGACGGGGCTACGCCGTCAGTGACCTTGTAACATTTGGTGGAAGGCTGTTTGTGCTGGGTCTACCTCTGACTACCCGGAGGCTTTGGCTGTGGCAAGTGTCTGCAGGTGAATTCCACGGGAGAATGGAGGAAGTTGGTCTGTCGGGACTAAGAGGGACCCAGGTGGATGAATCACAGATCCCTGGGGCAGGTCACGTTGGTTCTAAGCCTTATGTGTAGGGGTTGGGGGAGAGAGGTGTGAGGTGACTCTTTGTGTTTAGGTGTGTGTGAGAGGCTGGAATTAAATGAGAGGTATGGAAACTAGTACAGATTATCTGCCAGAAGGGACACATCTATGGTAAAGATTTTCAACCTTTCTGAGAGGCCAGAAACCCCATCATAAGTGTGAAGAAATGTAGTATCTGTGAGTACATGTAGTTGTGCTTCTGTTTCTGATCCATGTATGTGAAATGGTTTGCACTTGGGAGAGGGTATTGAGTGAAATATATGAAGTATGTGAAGGTGGTTAGCCACAGTACCCAAGTCTCTGGATGAATTGTATGACAGTGAAAGGGCTGGTGATTATAACTCTGTGACTTTGAGCTTGTTTGACAGAGTATGACTGAGTAAGAGGTCATGTGAGAGTTTTGGTAAATGTGTTTGTGTGTGTTAGAATGCGATATATCAAAGTTAAAATCTGGAAGATAGTGTGTGTGGCTATTATCTGAATTTACTAAAAATATGAGAGAGTGCAATATTAGGAGTGTGTCAGATTGAGTATGAGATGATATCTACTTTAAACCTCACTTTACTTACCTCTAAAAAGATAATGGTTAACCTTCCTGAAGCATCAGTTTTACTTGAACATTAAATTTCCAAGGGAAATTTTTTAAAATCTAAGAATACTTAAAACTTGGTTTTAAAAATATGAAACAATTTATTGTGATGAAGAACATAAAATGACCATGAAAGATTTTTTTTTTAATCTCTGTTATATGGTAACTGGGAGTTTGGTTGATATTCTTTGGTGGAAGTGAATAGATGCAAAGTCTACTAAATTCCTGACTTGATCTGTATAAGTAGAAGAGTCCTAGGTCAAGTGAACAAAAGCCTAACTTCAGTAATAAAAACAGAGTCATGGCCCCTCAATCAATTCCCAGACTTGACCCACTGTACAGACCTAGAACCCCTTGAATGAGAGATCCTGGTACACTGCAAACAATTGATACTGTTTATTATCCCCATAAGCCTTCCCAAAGGAATCTACAGCCTTTATCAGGGTGACTATAAGTTGAGGAAAAGGAAATAGTCAGCCTTTCAGGGATTACTGGACACTGACTCTGAACTGACACTAATTTCAGGAGATCAAAACATCACAGGGGCCTACCAGTCATAGTAGGGGCCTATTGAAGTCAGATGATCGATGGAGTTTTAGCTCAATTCCATCTCACAGTGGGCCCAGTGGGTGCCTGAACCCATCCTGTGGTTTTCCCCTCAGTTCTGGAATGGTAATTGGGACAGACATACTCAGCAACTATAAGAATCCCCACATTGGTTCCCTGCCCAGTTGAATGTGGGCTATTATGGTTGGAAAGGATCAGTGGAAGCTACTAGAACTGCCTCCACCTAAGAAAATAGTAAACCGAAAGAAATACTGCATTCTTGGAGGGACTGCAGAGATCAGTGCCACCATTAAGGACTTGAAATATGCAGGGGTGGTGATTCCCACTACATCCACATTCAACTTTCCCATCTGGCCCATGCAGAAGACAGATGGATATTGGAGAGTGACAATGGATTATAGTAAGCTTAACCAGGTGGTGACTTCAATTGCAGCTGCTATACCAAATATGGTTTCATTCCTTGAGCAAATTAACAAATTCCCTGGTACCTGGTATGCGACAACTAATCTGGCAATTTTTTTTCTCTATCCCTGTTAATAACGACAACCAGAAACATTTGCTTTCAGCTGGCAAGGTCAGCAATACCACTTCAGTGTCCTACCTCAGGGGTATATCAACTCTCCAGCCCTATGTCATAATTTAGTTCAAAGGGATTGTGCTACTTTTCTCTTCCACAAGATGCCATGCTGGTCCACTTCACTGATGACAATATGTAGACTGGACCCAGTGAGCAAGAAGTGGCAACTACTCCAGAATTATTGGTAAGACATTTGTGTGTCAGAGGGTGGAAAATCAATCCAACAAAAAAACTCCAGGGCCTTCTACATCAGTGAAATTTCTAGAGATTCAGTGATGTGGGGTATGTCACGATATCCTTTCTAAGGTGAAGGATAGGTTGTTGCATCTGGGCCCTCCCCCAACCAAAAAAAGAGGCACAAAGCCGAGTAAGCATCTGGATTTTGGAGGCAACATATTCCTCACCTGGGTGTGTTACTTCCCTTCATTTATTGAGTGGCCCGTAAAAGTAAGGCCCAGAAAGAGAAGGCTCTGCAATTCTGCAACAGGTCCAGACGACTGCAAGCTGCTTTGCCACTTGGGTCACATGGCCCAGCAGATCCAGTGGTGCTTGAGGTATCAATGGCAGATAGGGATGCTGTTTGGGGCCATTTGTAGGAATGTATAGGTGAATCACAGCATAGGCCCTTAGGATTTGAATCAAAGCCCTGCCATCCTCTGCAGTTAAATACTTTCCTTTTGAGAAGCAGCTTTTGGCCTGCTACTGGGCCTTTGTAGAGCCTGAACACTTATCTAAGGGCCACCAAGTTACCACACAACCTGAGCTGCCCATCATGAACCAGATGTAATCTGACCCACCAAGTCATTAAGTTGGGGGCACATAGCAGCATTCATCATCAAATGAAAGTGGTATTTTGACTGAGCTGAGCACACGATGAAGGCACATGTAATCCTCTTACTGGGTAGTACTTCAAACAGTGCACTTGGTTATTTATTTTGTTTGGAAGGAGAAATGGCCAGATGTGTAATTATGTATCAATTCATAGGCTGTGGTGAATGGTTTCACTGGATGGTCAGGGACTTGGAAGGAATATGATTGGAAAATTGGTGACATGGAAGTCTGGCAGAGGTATAAACCCCTCTGAATGAATAAAATAAAGATATGTGTCCTAATGTGAATGTTCACCAGTGGGTGAACTCAGCAGAGGAGGATTTTCATAAAGTGGATAGGATGACCCATTCTGTGGATACCAGTTTCTTTCCTCAGACACCCTGTCATCACCCAGTGGGCTCATGAACAAAGTGGTCATGGTGTCAATGATGGAGTTTATGCATGGGTTCAACAACGTGGTCTTCCACTCACCAAGGCTGTGCCTGGTTATAGCCATTGCTGACTGCCTAATCTGTCAACAGCAGAGACCAACAGTAAGTCCCCAATATGGCACCATTCCGTGTGGCAGGTTGATTACACTGGACTGCTTCCATCATGGAAAGGGCAGCATCTTGTTCTCAGTGGAATAGATACTCCCAATACAGATGTGTGCTTTTACTACACATAATGCTTCTGCCAAAACTACCATCTGTGGACTTGAAGAATGCCTGATGCACTGTCATGGTATTCCATGCAGCATTGCTTCTGATCAAGAAACTCGCATCACAGCAAATGAAAAACAGCAAAGGGGCCCGTCCACATGAATTCATTGGTCTTACCATGTTTTCCACCATCCTGATGGCCTGACAGAACAATGGAATGACCTTTTAAAGACCCAGTTTACAATGCCAGCTGGGTGGCGTATCTTGCAGGGCTGAGGCAAGGTTCTCTAGAAGGCTGTATATGCTCTGGATCAGCATCCAATATCTGGTGCTGTTTCTCCCATGGCCAGGATTCACAAGGCCAGGAATCAAGAAATGGGAGTGACAATCACTCATTATTGCCCCTAGTAGCCCAATAGAATTTTTGTTTTCTGCCCTCACAACCTGTGCTCTGCTGCCCAGAGGTCTTTAGTTCCATTCAGAGCAATGTTTCCACCAGGAAACAAAATGATTCCATTGAACTGGAAGTTAAGGCTGCTACCCAGCCATTTGGGGCTCCTTAACCCTCTGAATCAACAGGCAAACAAGGGAGTTACTCTGTTGGCTGGGGTGGTTGATCTTGACTACCAAGGGGAAGTTGTACTGCTTCTCTACAAGGGAGGTAAGGAAAAGTATGTCCTGAGTATAGGAGAGCTTTTGGGGCATCTCCTAGTATTAACATGCCCTATGATTAAAGTGAATGGAAAATCACAACACTAATTAGGCAGGATGACTGATGGGTTACATTCTTCAAGAATGAATATCTGGGTCACCCCATCAAATAAAGAACCATGACCAGCTGAGGTGCTTGCTGAGGGCAAAGGGAATACGGTATGGGTAGGGGGAGAAGGTAGTTATAAATGCCAACTACAGCTGTGTGACCAGTTTCAAACATGAGGAATGTAACTGTCATCTTGCTTATTTTGTTGTATTGGTGTATATGTGTATAGGAAATACCTTTGTCTTCTTCCCTTTTTTATCCTTTTGTCATGTAACATAAGAGGTACTGATCTTTTCTATTTAAGTATTATTAACTTTACATCATAATATTTAAGTTATGAGATATCAAGAAGAGTAAACATCACCCAAGGACTTTGCAACTTCTTCTGGGGAAAGGGTTGGTGTATTTTTTGGTTGTATGCAGGATAGTTGAATGATGTAAGGTGGAAGTAGTACCTTGTTATTGTCTTTACTCAGAGATTAAATATGGCTTAAGGAGATGCATATAGGTGCCAAGCTGACAAGGAATGGACTTATGATGGTTAATTTTATGTACCAGTTTGGCTGGGCCATGATGCCTAGATATTGGGTCAAAC